AACAACAAGCTTTAACATCCAACCAAAAACAGTGGGATTCAAAAATTACCCAATCAGGATCATGCAAGCAGCGTGGCTGGAAACAGGCCGCAGCACGTGGGCCTGGGGCATTGCAGGGTGCCTCCAACCGGCCATGCACAGCACTGGCCCCCGGAGATGCGGAACTACGGGGATGCAGCAGTCGGCTGCGCCCCAGAACCCGACATTTTCCGCATCACTTGTGCTTCTGGTTTGGCCATGTGCACAAGTGCTGAGTTTTTGGTAACACCAACTCTTCTCCACACGTACGAGGTGCTGGCCTCGCCTCTCCCAGCCTCATCTCCTGCTCTGCCCCACCCCTCACCCTCACTCTACCCGAGCCGCCATGACCTTCTTGCTCATTTCAACATGCCAAGCTCCTCACACTCAGGCCTTCACACACCTGCTCTCTGGCTGAAACACAGATCTAAGCAGGTCTTTGAATGTCTGGCTTCTTAGTTTATGGGACGGCAGCTCAGAAAGATCTCCCTGTACTACTTTTGTCTAAGGGAGCCCACTCAGCCATGCATATCCTATAGCAATGAGAGATTTCCTTCATAACGCTTATTTTCCATAGAGGTTGTATCATTAATTTATTTGTTTCATTTTGCTTACTCACATTAGAGTATAAGCTCCATGAACAAGGCCCTATCTATCTAACCTTCTGGGCTTGTGACCAGAGGCAGAGAGCGCACGCATGGAGATTAATCCATGCAGTTTGGAAGGCAGAGGCAGAGAGAATGTGGCAGAGGCTGACAAACATCACAGACCCAGGTTAGAGTGCTGTATTTGCTTAATCCATCTGATATTTCTGAGAATCTGCTTCTAGGAGTTCCTTGTTTTATTTAGAGGTCTAAATATACTTTCTACATGAACACTTTCAACATATAGCCTAAGACTCTAGTCACTGCTGTTTCTGTTTATCTTCTCTGTGTAACTATAATCTTAAAAGTGCTAATTATATCCATCTGGGAAAGTAAACAGACCTGAAAATCAAAGAGAGTGCTCCCTGGTTGAAAAGAGTTTCTAATTAAAGTAATAATAAAGAGGAAATTGATCAATCAGCGTGGAAGTCTCTTATGTATTTTAATTTGCATTGCATTTCATATGTACTTCTCTTAATTTTTCCCTTCTCATCTTAAAATTCTAATAGAAACTTTAATTTTTCTAAGATTTAACATGTTTTAATCAGTAAACAATGTTACAAGTTTGAAATTACATGAATTTAAAAAGAGTCACATGAAACTTTAATGCAACATTAACCATAGAAATAAATTTAGCATTTAAACTACACATCAAGGATATTCTTGCACTTAAGCGTAGGCAACTTCAGTGTTTCTCACTGAATATCCTTTGTATATTAATCAGTCAATTCAGAAAGTAGGACAGTTTGATTCTAATTCTCTTACATAGAAATTGGAAGACATGTGTGAATCCTGTAGGAGCAAGGAATCATCATGTCACTCACCAAGGTGCAATGTGGGACCCAAGCCTGCATCACCTTCTATTTGTAAGGGACAAGGGAACTACACTAAACGTGTGCACCTGGAGTGAGCCCCCGTCCCATCAACACCACTTGTCCGTGCACATCACAAGCTCCAACCACACGACACTTCTAAACAATACCCTGAACGTTTGCAGAATGCCTTGGGACCTTTGCACACGCTGTTCATTCTGCTGGGAATGACCCCTTCCACCCTGAAGTGTGTCATCTCCTGTCAAGACCAAGTCTAGTAGCTCATCTTCTGTGACATCTTCTCTCTCTGGCTTACGGTGGTCTCCCCTTTGTATTGCATCATTTGTTCAATCTTGATTAGAACATTTTATTTTATTGTCTCCTTCTGCTAACCCAAGGGGTCTTAGCTGTCAGTCTTCTTTGTGTCCTTCCAGTGGCTTCTATTTCTACTACAGAGTAGACACTCAATAAATGTCTCTTAAGTGAAAGTGGGGGAGGGTGATGATCACTTTGGGTATCTGACACAAGCTATGGATACTTTCTCCAGAGTTTATTCACAGCCACCTACAAACAAAGCTAGTCTGTCTCAGGCTCTGAAGGCTGACTTCCTTGTTCAAAGTCGAGTTTTGCCATTTACCAGCTGTGTGACTTTGGGAAAATTGCTCAACTGTGCCCTGGTTTCCTCATCTTCATCAAGGATAGTAATAGTACATTCCTCATAAGGGTGTTGTGAGGATTCAATGAGTTGATTCTGCAAAATGTGTAGAACACTGCTGGGCACAGTGAGCCCTTTGTAAGCTCCATATAACCTAGTGTTAGTAGGTTCCAAGGACTGGAGATAGCAAGATGAATTAGATGTGATTTCCTTCTCTTGAGGAGTTCGAATTCTTGTGGGAAAGACAGAAGTGCAAATAAAAAACCACCTGGCAACACTGTCGTGGAGTCTGAGCAAGGAAGCACTTTCCTCCTGAGGCCTGGACTGGACAGTCAGGGACCCCCACGGACGTGGCATTTTAGCTGAGACCTGATGGATGAGGGGAGCTGCTAGGTGGAATAGTTGGGATGTAGATTTTAGGCAGATATAAGCAAAGACAAAATATATGCAAAGTCTTGGCTGTGTGGGAACATGAGGGCATTTGGGGACAGCAGCCACAGAGAGTGGCTTTAGCAGAAGGTCTGAGGTGAAAAGCCTTGGGGAGAGAAGCTGGGGGACGTCACAGACACCATAACCATGTTCACTCAGCACCTGTGTTCAACCACCTCCCCCCTGCCTTCCCCTACTGGAGTCAGGGAGGTGAAACACTACGTTTTCCTGTCCAGGTGAGGTCATGTGGCAGCTAACAGGGTATCAGCTGGGACAGGCTTTTCTCCTAGAATGAAAACACAAAGCCTTGTAAGGAGAAGGCTTCTTCGGCCTTTTTTGCTTTCTTCCTACGTGGAACTTGGGCTTGAGGCCTTAAGACAGGAGGATGAGGCTGTGTGCTAAGGATGGTGCAGGGGCAGATGCAGAGAGCTGGGGGCCCTCTGGCTGACTCGGCAGCTGCCCTGCCTGGATCTCCTCCCTCCCGACTTCTCGTTCATGAGATGTACCACAGCAGGCCAGGGCTCCCGTGCTTAGAGCCAAACGCACCCCTAACTGACACACTGGTAAGCCCTGCCCAATCAAAGAAGGCCTTGAATGCTTCGCAGAAGAGCTATGATTTTGACATTTGGCCTCTGAGAACTGTAGTGTAATTTAAGGGCTATAAAGATAGCTTTGCAGCCCCAAGAACCTTGGTTCAAATCTTCGTTATAGCTGTTCAGCTTGAGAAATCAGTTATCCTCAATCTGAGCCTTATCAGGGAGATGTGCGCAGGGACTTATTTTAGATCAGTACCTCTAACTGCAGCACGTGCGGGGTGGAGTGGGCGTGGCCCAGAGCAGAGACTAGTGGGAGTTTGCCAGCATCCTGCCAGCACTGAATCAATCTTAACCAAACATTCAGAAATAATTTCAGAACTTAAACTGGATTCTAGTTGATGATTTTAGTGAAAAAATATAACATTCTGATAGTGCTAGATTTTACAAATGTTCTCTGAGACTTATATCACTTTTATGACTAAATGTCTTAGAACAAGTTGCTCTAAAGGTTTTCAGAAGAGAGAAGCCTTTTCCCCCCATGTGTATAAATTCCTGTGGCATCTTGTATTATCCCCAGGAACACAGTGCGGAGTCCAGAAATAACTGGTGAGAATGGCCAGGACTGAAGGAATAAATCATTTAAGATTCATTATTCCATGCTACTGGTGCTATCAGTTCTTCAGAATCTGTGGATAAGTAAAGCTAGCAGATGTTGAAGGACAACTCTATTTCCTTAATGTTTACTTCAAAGCTCTAGTGGAGCTCTTCTGTGAAGCCCAGGAGAGGGTTAATGAAGCCTAGGATAGGTGGTGTAATTTAAGAGACAATAAAAAATTTTTGCTCTGAAGTATCGAATTACATTGTCTCATCAAAGATGCTTGAAAGTTCTGCATCAGAGACATCGACTCTGAGAAATGAAGGAAGCAATCTGCCCAGAGCAGGTGCCTTTGTGGGGAGCACACTTCCGTCATAACAGGCTGACGAGGATAATCCAAGGCTCAGACTGAGGATAACTGGCCCCTCTGATTTACAGAACTATTAACTGGCCACACTGGGATTTGAACCTAGCTTTGGTTTGTGTGACTACAAAACTGTACTTCTAACCCGTACGTTATACTGCATCCATTCTCATGCTTCCCTGCCCCTACAGTTTGCAGGCTATGTCCGCATGTGAGTGAGGCAGCCATGTGGGTAGGAATACTTCCTGCATGTCTCTGGGAGAGGCCTGAGTCACCGTGAGGTAGTGCCTGACATGGCACTCTGTGGAGGACCCTCCTAGCTCCTGGCTGGCAGTGGAGACCCATTTAGGAGCAGAGAAGGGCCTTTAGGAGACAAAACAGACTGTGCGATACTCTAGCAAGCTGCCCAGCCTATGCAAACCATGACAGTGGGGTAAACAATTAGGCTCCATACCTGTTTAAATTAAACAATACGTAACACAATCAGGGATTTCTCAGGCTTATTGATTTACCCACCCCAGGAATGGGGTAGTGTTAGACTCTCTGGAACTGGTCCGCAGAGCCACATTTAACATTTGGCACCCTTGCTCAGTACCACATGCGTGGAAAGAGCAGTGGGAAGCTGCAGTGCTTGGGTGCAAACGCTTCTCTTCCTTCTCCTGCACGAAGGGCAGAGAGAAAGGCTGTCCTGTGCAGGGTTGGACTCAGAAGAGGCCACTGAGCGCAGCTGCAATGAAAGTTTCTCAGTACTGTCTGCAGGGACTTGCTCAAGATCCCTGTGGGTTGCAACCAGCAGAGAACGTGGCTCCTCCCTTCTTGGACCATGAGAGCTGTGGCCTGAGCACCAGAATTTGGGGCTCCTTGGAAGGGGGGAAGGCACGGGGGCTGGTTCACGGCCAGCCAGTTCGATCTGCTACCTGGGCCCTTGCAGAGCCCACGGCACTCACCTCGGCCTGCCAGACGGGGTTCACGGTGTTGCCTATGATCTTGGATCTCCTCTCCTGCCCGTGGTGAGGGAGGGCAGGGAAGATGCTGTGCTTCCCGGGCTGGATGGAAATCTTCAGATAAGGGTCTGGGTTGAAAAACATCCCTTTCTTCAACCCCATGGCCTGGAAATCTATAAGAGAAAGGATATTTTCGTTTAAGTATGTTTTAGTAAGGTTAACGCCTGGCGTCGTGGTAGCTACACTTTTCACGAGAGGCCATCGGCCCTGACTGGACTGCACTCCTGGCGTTTCTCAGGCAGGGGTTGGGGTTAGGGGCTGACGGTCACCTCAGAAAAGGTGGGGACACAGAGGCAGGAAATTCAGCTTTGGATATTAGACGGGCCTGGTTGTAAAACTCCTCTGCAAGGCGGAGACATAAGGAAAACAGGGCTGTAGTTTCACAGTAAATGTGGACTTCACTGAGTAAGGAGAGAGAGAGTTAGCAGAAATAAAGAGAAAGGTGAGGGTTAAAAGAGCAGAGAACGTGGACACTGGGGGAAAGAACAAAGCCTCCACAGGGCTGAGTGCGTGTCAGTGAGGAGAGCTCTTAGGAGCCTGCTGCCAGGGAGGAGAGACCTGAGAACCCAGCTGTTCCACTTAATTGAAGACATCTGATCATGGACAATTAGTGCTGTATCGAGAGAGAGAGGGAGACAACAAGACTGTGACAGTGGTTTATAGTTGTTCTGGGATGATCTTAAGTCACTTTATATTTATTGGAAATATATATATGATGTCAAGGAAGATAATTTTTAATTTTTAAAAATTTGTTGAGACAAGGTCTTACTTTGACACGCAGGCTAGAATGCAGTGGTATCATCATAGCTCACTGTAACCGCAAATTCCTGGGCTCAAGCGATACTTCTGTCTCAACCTCCTGAGCAGCTAGGACTACAGGCCACCTCACCCAGTTGATTTGTCTATTTTATTGTAGATACAAGGTCTCGCTTGTGCCCAGGCTGGTCTAGAACTCCTGGCCTCAAGTAATCCTCTCTCCTTGGCCTCCCAAAGTACTAGGATTACAGGTGTAAGCCACCATGCCCAGCCAAGGAAGATAATTTTTTTAAAGCTTTTCTATTATTAAAATATTTTTCAAACAAAATTATTCGCATTTATATATAAGTGAAACAAACTGAGGAATACAGATATACAGAATCATTGATTCTCAATCATGGTTTAAGTTGTGAGGTGTTTAAGTAATTTGTTACTGATAAAAAAAATACAGAGGTTTTCATATGCATTTACTTAAAAGTTATTTTGAGTTGATTCAAGGTTATCTCCATAATGAAATTACTCTTACTCTCTTGAATTATAATATACTGCCATGAAGGGAAATAGGGCAGAAAGTAGAAGCATCACAGAAATTTGCAACACCCAGGCTATACCCTCAGGAGTCAGGAGTGTGTGCAGACAAAAGCTAACATAGCAGCCTGAGACTGCTTGCCTTAGAAAGGCCTGTTTATAAGGTGGGCTCTTGGCTGTAGTGTCTGGGAAGTTGGATTTCAAGGGGGCTCCCACCTTTCCAGAACTGTAAGAGTGGCTCACTGTGCCCAAACTTTGTGCAAACTATGTGGTTTATGATGAACACTGCTTTTCTTCTGGGAGTCTGGAATTTTGCTACATGCCAAGCAGAAGATGGAAACCTTGGGCACTGAATCTCCAACAAGGTTCCCTGGAGGACATTTCATACGTGCTGGCACAGTTTGTGCTGCGGGAAGGATGCGTGTCGTGGGCTCCACTGGGAGAGGCCCCTTGGCAGCTTGCTCCCGGCTTCCTGCAGACTTTGCCCTGTGCACCTTTCCCCTGTGCTTACTTTGCTTTGTGTCCTTTCACTGTAGTAAATCACAGCCATGAATACAGCTAGACTCTGAGTCCTGTGAGTTCTCCTAGTAAGTTCTGGAACCTGGGAGTGGTCTTGGGGACCCTGACATAGAGTGTGAAAGGTATATATATATATATACACACACACACCACATCCATCATAAAAGAATGACTACCATCACCTGCCATTTATTGCTAGTTCCTAAATTCTGGAAACCAGTCTTTGCACTTAAAATACATGAACTGATTTAATCCCAACTACAAACTCCATAAAGTAGAGATTATACCCCCAATTCGAGTAAAGAATATGGAGGCTCACAGGTTTTCAGGGCTGGTCGATGTCAGAGATAAGATTTGAACCTGTCTCTTTGATTTCAAAGTCTGTGCTTTTAACCAATATGTTATATTATCTGTTTATAAAAATGTCAACTTTGGCATAGGGTAAATGCTAAGTGTAAACGAATCTTTTTCTATACTCTTTATTCTGTTCTATCAAACAACTTGTCTATATCTGCATCGATATATCTTTATTAAATATTTGGTACCTGGTAACTCTTCATTATTCTTATTTTTTGAAAAAGACAACATCTTGCTTCACCACTCAGACATTTATTCTTCCAGATAAATCTTACTAAATTTTAATAACTCCCTTAAAAAAATTGGGATTTTAATTGGAACTGCATTGAATTTATACATTACTTTTGGGAGAATTAGTAGTGTTACAAAACTGAGACTTCCCACCCAGGGGACATCTTCTTTCATGCCCTTCAGTAAACTTTTATGTTTTTCTGTATAAGGGCTTACACATTTAAATTCAATCTGGATACTTACTGAAATATATGTTTTATGGAGTAAGAGTATTTGAAAACTGTTGCAATAAGAGGTACAAATTAAAAGTGCATTGCACTGGGAGTCATTTTACCTAGATTTTAGTTCTGGAGTATTCACTATTGAACTTTATAACTTTGAGTAAATCAATTTAACTGTTTCAGGTCTTAATTACTTCAACCGTGACTTTTTTGGGAGGGATGTCTATAAGAGCACAAGAGTTCTATGATTTTCCAAACATAAATGATACTTAATTTTCTGCCACTTTTTTCTGTATTATTTTTTTGTTCTAATGATGCACATTTGTTATAACACATTTATTATGTGCACATTTATTATAACATTCTTAAATATAGAAGGAAAAGAAACAGAATTTTAAAATTATTTTAAATTGTATCTTCCTGGCCAAACTTCTTCCTTATTTTCTTCTAGTATTTTTCTTTGCATAGTTGTGACCATACTGTATAGTCAATAATGCATCCTATAGTTTTTTCTTTTGCCTTGAGTTATATATATAGAGGACCAGAAGATGCCACCCCATTATATGTAAGAGACCAGAATACAATAGCTCAAAATATACCACTTTGGCATAAGGATTATTTTGAGCTAAAGGGACTTGAGAAGAAGCAGATACAAGAACAGCCCTTTGTCCTCTTCCTATTTGCCAAAAGGCAGGGCATGCACTTATGAAGGTGTCCCTCCCTCCTCTCTCTACCAGGGGGGATGAAGGTTGATCACCAGAGATGAATTCAGACTCTTACCAACTAGGAGATAGCACCAAAGAATCTGCATAATGAACTTTACTAACAGGCATTTTATCTACCATAGTTTTCCCACAATTTGCTGTCCCTAGGGATTTAAGGTCTTTTTCTCTTGTCTTGTTACTCCTCCAAAAATTGTATTATTCTTTTAAAAGATGCTATATAAGCCAGAATTCTAAGCCACCTCTTAGAGATTTACTCATTTTTCCTCCCATGTATACATGAGATATACATGTTAATAAACTTTTGTTTATTTTTCTCTTGTTAATTTGTCTTTTAAAGTTACAGGGAGTCCCCAGCTAAGAACTCATGAAGCGTAGAGAAAAAACTATTTTTCCTCCCCTATAGTATCATAGAGATGTTCTCATGCCTTTTAGAACATTTTGTATGTGTAATTCTTAACAGTGTATAGTATTTAATCATTTGGCTCAATGGCAATTTATTTAGCTAATCCCTAATTTTGAATGTTTTAATTGTCTCCAGTATGTTTGTGATTAAATCTCTATTTACAGTTATGATTTTTTTTAACTTACAGTACTAAAGATGTAATTCATTGGAAATTAAAGGAATAATATCTGGGAAATTTGTTACCTCCAAGAAGTGGTAAAAACAGAAAATATGAATAGATTTGGAAGTAAAGCATTTGTATAAACGATCTTGCTTTGATATGTTCATTGCCCTCTTGAAGCTTTCTGGAGAAGGCAATTCCATTATCTATCTTTCCGGTTATTTCTCATTTTAAACCCTAAACAGAAAATCTATGCTTTTATATTGAAGAGTCTCCAATTCTTGAATTTTCTTGGATTTTCTCTCTGTGTGCTGCAGCACATGCTCACATATTACTTTCAGATGAGGTGCAAGGGTGGTTGTTCTTTGAGCCCTTGCAAACCTGGAATATGTTTCTCTTGCCTTCCCACATAAATGACAAGCTGGTGGACACAGCGATCTTGGGTTAAAACATGCTATATTCAAAATTCTACAGGCTGTGCTTCATTATTCTGGCATCTTAGGAGACAAGTCTGATATCAGTAATGTTTATTCTTTTGTAAGTATCATGCTTTTTCAGCCCAGATGTCTATGGTGGCTATATATGAAAAAGTTTTTAAAAGATTTTTCTGGGTGCTGGTCTCTTTACATGTATTATTTTTTCTTAGCATCTGATGGTCTTCTTTAAGTTAAAGACTCAAAAGTATCTTCAGCTCAAAGTTTTCTTCTATTATTGTCTCTGTTCAATTTGTTCTGATTTCTTCATCAAAAAACACAGATTGGTCATGTGTTGGCTCTGCAGGTATCATCCACCCGTTCTCCCCTCATCCTTTCTGTGTCTGGCCCTTCATCTGTGCCTTCTGGGGGGACTCTCAAGGCAGCCAGCCTCCCAGGTCACTGGTTCCAGTTCTGTAGTGGCGACTGTGCTGTATGCTGCTTTCTGATGCTCACTTTTAATTCTATGATTGCAATGGCCCCACAAAGATGTTCATGTCCTAATCCCTGCAACCTGCCAATATAAAGGGACTTTGCAGATGTGATTAAGTTAAGGATCTGGAGGTAGGTCCAGTGTAATCACAGGGTCCTTATAAGATGGAGGCAGGAAGGACAAAGTGGGGAGAAGGCAGTATGATGACAGAAGCAGGGACAGGAGTCATGCAGCCACAAGCCAAGGAATGCTGGCAGCCATTAGAAGCTGCAAGAGGCAGGGAGTGGATCGGCACTGGAGCTCCCAGAAGGAACCAGCCACGGTGATGCCTTGATTTTAGTCCCTTAAGTTTCATTCTGGACTTCCGACCTCCAGATCACTAAGAGTTCATCTGTGTTGCTTTAAGCCACTACGTTGTGGTAATTTTTGTTATAGCAGCAATAGGAAAGAAATAGACTTGACTTTCTAAGGTTTTATTTTTGATAGCTTGAAGAACTCTCTTATCATTTCTCATCTCAGATCCCTTACTTAATGTGTCCTGTACTTTCCTGTATTTTATTGAGAGTACAAGCAGATGAGTGACAAATACTTTACTTCTCTTTAGCAGATATCTGTCAAAGGGATACTTTCTTTTTCTCTTGAGTGTTATGTTCTTCAACTTTTCAAGAGGGTAGAATCTTTTCTCCACGCAAACTTCAAGTCAAAATTTCTATTATTTATCCACAAACAGGTCTTGTAGTCCCAGTGCTTGTCCATCTTTAGTTTGGTTGTCCAGCTGCTCGCTGTTGGAACCCTGGCCCTGCTTTTACACCGAGGCTGACCAGCACCGAGTCCATTTTTGATACTTTGTGGGCTTTGCTTTGGTACAGATTTAATCTTTCTGTCTTGTCTTTCTTTGAAGCATGCAACTTATTTTGATATTTTCAGCAGTATTTACTTTTTTTTCTTAGGCAAACCCAGTGAATTAAATACACATATAGACATCCAACTATTAAGTATTATACATCCATGACCATTCCAGGCTTGCTCCTTTAGCGGCTAACTTTATATGCCTGGTCACGTTCTATTGCTGGGAATTGTTGTCTTGGAATAAGCATAAGAAAAACAATATATTGGGAGCCAGTAGGAGATGAACCAACCCCAATCACCTTAGAAAGTAGCTTTGTGAGCCAAGTTAGGGTGGGGGTGAAACTGTCTATATTAAAATAATGTAGATCCATAAGGCATAAAGAGTAATCAAAGTCTGATTTTTATAAAAGTAGAGATATAGCCAGAAGTTAGCCAGCCATTGTTCCCTCACTTCCTTGCTGCTGTAACTGGTTGCTGCTTAATGGCACTATCCTCCCTGACAGGTGCAAGATTTGTGACTTGCCCCTACTACTTCTATAGATAACATTGCTATTGTAAAGCCCAAAGACTTGTGCTTCTCCAGATAACATTGCTATTACAAAAGCTAAGACTGGTCTCTAAATATTTTTCAGGCTCTGCATTCTGGGAGGACTCACTGATGCCGACCAGACCAATGGTAGGCGTGGGAATGGATACAACGGCCTTGAGACCAGGGCGTCTCAACTGAGAGATGGTCCCTGCTTCCCAACCCTTTGAGTTCATCCCCAGCGGATCAGCAGACCCAATTCCTTGACCCTTCAACCCCCAGACTATCTTTAAAAACTCTTTCTCCCAAATTCCTGGGGAGACGGATTTGAGAACTTCCACCCATCTCCTTGCATGGCACCCGCGGCATTAAGCTCTTTCCCTGCTCTGACCCCTGCAGTCTCAGTGTATTGGCTTCCTCTTGAGCAGTGGACAATGAACCCGGTTGGGCTGAAATAGGCGAAGTTTCCTTTCCTCTGGTAGGTCTGTGAGCACATGTCTACACGGCAGAGGCAAAACAGGGCCCAAGGAATAGAGACTTTGTCCCTTCCCCTGGCCTGCTCTGCCTACCCTGAACTTAGCACTCAGTCCTCTTATGCTTTGGGACTTCACTGGATCTTTGGTTAGTGAACACATAGTTGTGTAATATTCCTGGTTTCCACTATTTTTGAAGTTGGTACTAATAATTGATATCTCTCTAGGAACATGAGAAGGGCAAAGCAGTTGTTGTTAGCTTTTGCCCTAGTAATACAAATCATTGCGTTTCTTTTTCCTTTTTTTCTTTCAACATTGACAGGCGCATGCTAAAGTTGTCAGTGGCTCTTTAGACACACATTTGCTTCACTGGGTTCACTTAGGCTTGAAAACCCCCAGTGGACTGTCCATCCCCCAAGGAGGCGTGTGCACTTCATGCCTCTGAGCTCTGATCCTGGGCACTCGTGGCCAGCAACATTTGTTGGTTTGACAGACTAAGGTAGCAGTTTCCACGTGCTCAACAGAGTCCTCAGGCTTCATGCCTTTGTGTCCTCCTAAAGACCCCTTAGGGTGGGATCGAGTGTGTCAAGGTCTGAGCTTTGTATATCATTTTAGCCAAAGCTGCTCAGTTTTTCTTTTAAAATTTTAATTTTAAAGTAATTTTAGATTTGCAGAAGAATTTCAAGGATAGTACAAAGATTTCCCACATACCCTTGACCCAGTTTTCCCCATGGTTAACATATTACAGAACCATGGCACATTCATGAAAACAAAAACTTTCACTTACTCTTAACCATTAAACCAAAATACTATTAATTAACAGACTGTAATTGGATTCCACTGATTTTCTTTTCCATGAATGTGCTTTTTGATCAGCTCAGTTTTTATCTGTTTTATCCATTGGGTTCCGTGCAAAAGGTTTGCTTTGACAAAGGGTTGGGTAGCTGCTTCTCTCCCCAGCTTCCCCCAGCCTTTCCTTTATAAACTCTCACTTGCTGCCACTTGGCTCTGCAGGAAAAGTAGGGTAGCAGCCTCTCTGCCCATCATCTCAAAGGGCTTTTGCATCTATGACTTACTGAATTCTCTATTGTCCTTATGAGGTCAAGAGGAATTGAGATTTTTGAAACTTTTGCTTTACGGATGGAGAAATCGAGGCATGGAGAGATTGAGTAACTTGTAGTTAAGAGTCAAATTAAAGCAGGTCTTCTAACTCTTAGTTGACATTCTTAATCTCTCCACAAGGCCTTTAGGTGACCAGAACATACCTGAGAGAGAAAAGCTGATCAGCCTCCGACTTCCTTGCCCTGGGACAGTCTCATCAGAGCCAATGCTTTTAAAAATCTGTAAGAACAAGGAAAATGGGAGACAAGCAAAACAAGCATTGAAATGAGCATTCACATTCCAACACAAACATGCTTAATCACAGTTATTTCTCCAGCTACAAGCAAGGAAGACAGTGATTTCACTGGGCAACTACTGATTAAAAGATGTTTCTAGCAACCTAATGTCTTTTCCAGTAATAGAGGATCTGCTAGTGGGCGGGAGGGCTGCTTTTCAGAAAATTGGAAATCAACAAACACAATTAGTTGAACATTAAAGACCCTTTGTTACTATGTATGCAAACAATGCCTTTTTACATTTAAATTTGCAAAAGGTATTTATTAAAGCAGGGCCCAAGGCGATAGAATGATAGGTCAATAGATATTTACTGTTATAATTATAATGTGTTTCCATTTAGCAAAGTATAGTGTTAAGCTGCTGTATCTCTGCTTTTTATTGTTATTTAGGGATTTCCAGGAAACTCTTTATTAAGTAGGAGTCTGAACATGGCATTAAGAAGCTACTCCAAGGTCTCTCTTAATTAATTGATTGCCTTCCTGGGAAATTTCAGAGCACATTTGTTATATGGATTACCTGTAGTCTAGTAGGTATTTGCAAACCAGGCTGTTAAGACATTTTATTTTTCAATATTGCTCAATATATGTTAATGAGTCAATCAAAACAGCTGGAGTCCTGCCTTCCATTTTATTTTAGGAGAGTTTTATTATGAAATGATTTTGAGGATTTATTTGAAGGCAGAATAACTCTTCCTGTTTACCTTTGCATGTGTTGTGTGATAGAAGAAAATAATTTTTAAAATCTTAGTGTTAAAGCAAATCCACACAGTGTCCACTTTTTAGAAGATACTATATACTGAAGAAGTGAAAAATGAAAAACTCCATAATCTCTGTTCAAAGTCTCTTTGTAGATTGTAGTGTCTTTCTTTCCTCGGTATTTTTTATGCTCTGAGTTGTGATTGGATATTCCCATCAACCTGCCTCATGTGAGACCAGGAGGAATGACTCAGGCATCACTAGGGTTCACAGCCTCAGCCCCAGGGGAGTACAAAGGAATGACTGCATCATCTCATGTTGAAGCAGGTGCCCTGGGTACGTCTGCGAGCTTGGCTGCAGCTTGCCAGCAAAGCTTGGTACCTCTGCCCTGAAGCCCAAATGTGAGTACATTTAAGGGACACTGGCTGCTCAAACCCACATAGGTGACACACGGGATGGGGCTTGGCATCAAGTGAGATAAGAGGCAGCCAAACTCTTTGACAGGTTTCTGTCCCTTAGAGTTTCATTCCATAGTAAAGAACCAGTGTGAGACAAGGCTGGGATTGGTGAGCTGGCTGGGGGAGCTTTTTCCCGTCTGAGAGCCTTTAACAGAGGGAAGGGCCTGAAGGAAAAAAAATAAAAGATTTTTCTGTCTCTTTAAAACTTTCCCCACTCTTTTTTGAAACTGCAGCCTGGCCTGCATCCCTGAGGCAGGTTAAGTCCTTTGTTAAAAGAGATAACTCCATCCCAGGAATTCACAGGCTTTGTCTTTGGCAGAGATGGAACAGTTAGAATAGTTAACCACAATAGTCTAGAACTGAAGGCCCTCTCTTTAAAAGCTCTATATTTCTGCCTATGTTCAGGAAATTTGGATATAGAGACGAGAAGGTCAGCATTTTTCCTTCTTTGCTGGCAAAGTAATCTCTTTCCTCCTCCTGAAAATACCTGTCCTTGTTCTTCTGATTCAGCCTCGTGGACAAGTGCAGAGTTTTTGGTAAAAAAACAAACCCAAGGTTCAAGTTCATTTCTACCTCTGAATGTCTGAAATGTTCACACAAGCAAATAGCAAACAAATGAACACATCTTACACATGTTTACAGAGCACTTTTGTGCATGTTTCCCTCATGAGAGCTTCATAATATGACTATTAGGTGGGAAGGCAGTTCATTTCAAGTTCTCCTGCAGAAAGGCCTGTAAACTGAAAGGGCAAAGCCATCTGTAGGGGCCTAAAAAAATGAAACATAAAACTCCAAGTCAACTGCATCCCAGTGGAATCTGCCCAACCTCTAAGACACCTGAGACAGAAGACAGGAGAAGGCCCATCAAAGGGACCAGAAAACATGTAATACAGATGAGTGCCAATTATGTGCCAAGAACAGAGCTTGTTCTTCTATACACACTTTTTTTTAACTGTTTAAAAAATTAGGATATTATTCACTTCCACCTCCCGTTTACAAACGTGAAAGCTAAACTGCGAACAATTCAATGAATTCTCAAAATTCACCTGGGACGAATCAATGTCTGGTTTGAAAGACTTAAATAAAACAAGAGTTGCAGAACCCACTATGCAAAGCCCATATAGTTCATTAACCCCCTTTGGACATTTCTTAAGATCCAGCCTGGCTGCTTGTGTCTCTTTTCCTTATATTTTGTTCATATTCTGCCTGCGCCCCTCTGCTTTCGGATGCTGCTATCACCAGACCAGCTTCCAGAGTCTTCACAACTCCTGCTTTCTTTATTGCCTTGAAGGCAAGGCATGGGCTTCCCAATTTTAGGGCACTTCTGCTGAACACTATGAGGAAAAAGAGAGCGGTTGGAAAGATGAGACATTTCTCCTACATTTTTCCTGGAGTGAATTGGAAATAATGTTTTCATTAATTAGGAATGACCTTCTTTTCTATGACTGCTTTTGACCACACAGGACTGCATATTTTAGCACCAGGAGTAAATCTTCTTCAGGCAAAGGATTGGTGTCTTCGAGAGGCTCAGTGTTTGGCTTATTAAAAAGAAGGTAATGAGAATGCACAGAAGTGCTGTGTGAATAATCATGCCAGCTGAGATTAATCAAATACTTGGATTTTTCCTGATAACTTTAGGCTATAAAGCCATGCTTCTTTAACATAGTTTCTTGTGTAGTGCAGATTGTTCTAAAAGTGGGAACACGATAGATTGTACCAAGTCCTAAGAAATAACTGGGTTGTGTTTGCTCCAGAGTGGAAGTTCCCTAACTTTAGTGTCCTTCAGAATCACCTACAGTCTTGATAAAACACAGGTTGCTGGGACACCCCAAGAAGGCCTGATTTTGTAGGTTTGGGGAGGGCCCTGAGCCTGCTTTTCTAACAAGTTCCCAGGGGATACTGCTGCTGCTAGGGAACCACATTTTGAGAAGCACCAGTCTCAAGTGTCTTAAATGGTAATGGAAAGATAGGTGTCTTACAGTCCCTAACTAAACCTCAGCAACCCTCAAAACTGTCTTGACCCTGGTTCTGAGTGTGAGAATCAGGTTCTGATGATCTTGGCCCATGGTGGCCCCCATTCCAAGTGCTCAGGCCTGCACCTTCTATCATGGACAAATGGCCCATTTGTTTATATCCCCATTGCTGGCACCTTGAGTTTTTTTTTTGAGACAGGGTCTCACTCTGTCACCAAGGCTACAGTGCAGTGAGTGGTGTCATCATAGTTCACTGAAACCTCAAACTCCTAAGTTCAAGAAAGTCTTCTGCCTCAGCCTTCCAAGTGGCTGGGACTACAGGCACATGCCACCATGTCTGCCAAACTTTTCTATTTTTTGTAGAGACAGGGTCTCTCTCTTGCTCAGGCTGGTCTCAAACTCCTAGCCTCAAGCCATCCTTCCACCTTGGCCTCCCAAAGTACTAGGGTTATAGGCATGAGCCACTGTGCCACTGTGCTCACTGAGGTCCTCTTACTTTCTCATCTGGTCTATTACCTAGCCAACAACTGGTCCCTTGGTCTGTGGATAGAAGTTGTCACTTCACTCTCTACAGGCCAATCATTCTTACCTGTCAAACCCATCAAAGGCACCTACTGGGCACAGATAAGGCTGTGGGCTATATGGTCCATGGTCCAAAATTGCTATGTTTTCTTTGGCCCATGGAGTATTTGAGTTTTTAAAAAATTAGTTTTTAATATATCCTTTTAAATCAGAAGATTCACTTAAATGTTCTACTCACTGAACAACATATACACATCCTTGGGAAAGAGTTCTCCCCTATGAAAGCAATTTCAAAAAAATTGGAAGAATTGATTGCTACACTAGATGTGCATATATCAATGGAAGGACATAGGAAACGTGAAAAAGCAAGGAAATATGACATCACCATAGGAACCCAACAATTTTCCAGAAGCAGATTCCAATAAAAAAAATTCCTCAAAATGTCAGATAAAGAATTCAAAACATTGATTTTAAAGAAGATAAATGAGATGCAAGAGAAATTTTCAAACTAATACAAAGAAATCAGAAAATCAGTTTAGAATATGAATGAGAAATTTACCAAGGAGATAGATATCTTTAAAAAAAAACACTAAACAGAAATTCTGGAAGTAAAAAATTCACTGAAGGAAATACAAAATATATTTGAAAGCTTTAATAATAGACTAGACCAAACAGAAGAAAAAATCTTAGAACTTGAAGAGAGATCTTTTGAAATAATCCAATTGGACAAATACAAGGAAAAAAGAATAAAAAAGAATGAATAAAGCCTTTGAGACATCTAGGCCTGCATAAAGTGACTGAACTTGTGAATTACCAGTATTCTTGAGGGGAAAGAGAGATAAAAAAAATTTAGAAAACCTATTTAAGGAAACAATGGATACAAACTTCCTAATTCTAGCAAGAGAGTGAGACATCCAGATACAGGAGGCCCAGCAATCCCCAGGAAAATACATTGCAAAAAAGATTTCACCATGGCACATTATTAATATATTCAGAATGCCTAAAGTCAATGTAAAAGAAATAATTTTAAAATTAGCAAGAGAAAAGTGTCTAGTCACCTATAAAGGAAACCTCTTCAGACTAACAGTACACTTCTCATCAGAAAACTTACATACCTTAAGAGAATGGGATGGCATTTTCAAAGTGCTGAAAGAAAAAAACTGTCAGCCTAGAATTTTATATATTGCCAGAACAGGCTCCATAAAGGAAGGAGAAATAGTCTTTTGCAGATAAGCAAATGCTGAGGGAATTCATCACCACTAGACTGGCCTTACAGGAAATGCCCAAATGGATCT